GTGAAAGCACAGAGCGATGTGTTTCGGGGGGGGGCACGTGTGTTTTGGGAGGCACGGAGCATTGGGACTGTCACATGCTGGGTGATGCGTATGAACCGTAAGAAAGAACCAGAAGAAAGCTTTAACCAAGTCTGTTGCCCTATCAGACACCAGAGAACCCATTCTGCAGGGCTGACTTCCACCCTTTGCAGATTCACTGGTGTTTTAACATACACTATATATTGCAGTTTTAATAAGATTAATCAGCTGTCAATTACAAATCCCTTGGTGTCACATGCTGGGTGATGCGTATGAACCGTAAGAAAGAACCAGAAGAAAGCTTTAACCAAGTCTGTTGCCCTATCAGACACCAGAGAACCCATTCTGCAGGGCTGACTTCCACCCTTTGCAGATTCACTGGTGTTTTAACATACACTATATATTGCAGTTTTAATAAGATTAATCAGCTGTCAATTACAAATCCCTTGGAAATCCAGGCTCGTTTGTCCTGCTTCTCATAGAACTTAGCACTCTACATTTCTAAAAAAATCCAAAATAATTATCACCTATAGTCTGCTGCTCTGCACAGACATTGGTATCAAAAGAGTATTTAAAAGTAACAAACTGAACCACTTACAGTTAACGTAAGTTCGTATGTAGTTAAATTTGGCCTAAGAGATATTCACAGCTTTTCCAGTCAAACAAATCTAAGGTGAAACTTCGCTCATGTATTTCAAGAAAATCCGCAGCACACCTTTGAGTCCGTATGGGCTCTGTAGTTTTCTATAGCATAAATAAATGTAATCCCTGCATCAGTTTCCTAAAAGAAATTTATTTGCAGTAAGATAAAACATGGAACTAATAATGCAAAGCAAAAGTAATGATTTTTCTGCCCCAACTGGCGTGCCTCTCATATTTATCCATAAGCTTAATTTGAGGCTGAATTTCTACCATGCCTTTGATTAATTCTCATGTTTGATCCACCATGTAAATAAATTATCATATCAAATTTTCGAGGGACTTATTTTCAGTAAAAAGAACAGGGAGTTGGCTATGAATTAATTACTAACTACTAATCTACAGCCGAAGATTGCTTATGGATGCTGGCCTTCATAACTATTTATCTAGAATATGAAATCAGATCAGTAAGTACATGCAGCTTTCAATGGGACAGGAAACCATTCACCTGTCTAAAGAAAGAATTTACTAATAAACAGTACCATTTGCTTGTTCATCCTCAGAAACAATGGGTACTAGAAATAGACTATTCTTTTTCATGGGGAAAAATGGCAATTTGCTAATTACCTGTAAAGAGCTAGACAAATCTATACAATTTATAACACAAATAACCCTAATTCTAGCTTTTGCATAAGACATATAAAACCGTAACACTGAAAAACCTGACAGAAGCTACAACTGTTCAGGCAACTTTCTGCTGTAAATCATTAGAGGTGTAGTTCTGCTGTATTGTAGGCTCTCATTTGCCAAGCAATCCACTTCC